CCGACCAACCCAGCCTAACAGGCCCATCAGCTGACAACCGTTACACACTCCCAAGCTGAAGGTGTCCTCTCTGGAGAAGAAGGCGTCCAGCTGGGAACGTACAGTGGCGTTTATATTACACACCGCCGCCCATCCTTTGGCAGAGCCTAGAACATCAGCATAGCTAAACCCACCCACGAACACTGCTCCACGGAAGTCATCCAGCTTCACTGATCCACTGCACAGGTCATTCATGGTGACGTCCCACGCTTCAAACCCAGCCATGTGAAAGCTAGCCACCATTTCTCTGTCGCCATTGCTTCCTTCTTCCCGTATTATGGCCACCTTAGGATGTTTATCACTCAGTGGAGATGATGGCACTGGTTCAAACGACAGCTTGTATTCCGGAGCGTGCCTTTTACAAAGACCAGCCTCCTCTTCCATTACACACTGTGGATTGGTCTGCAGTCGCTCTAGCTGAAAGCTCGTGGCCTCCCAGATGTTTCGCAAGTCAACCATGTTATGTTCCAGCACAAGTTCACCTCCGACCCGCACCGACACAACCGCATCTTCTCCCAACCCGCTTGATGTCCCTATTTGAAGACATGGAATGTTCTTCGAAAGGAAAGCGTTCATGACCGTCTCTGTGTCCTCTTCCTTTATTTCTAATACAATTCCCAATTCCTCAGCGAACAGAACATCGGCCACCTTGTTCACTGTTGCAATGAAGTGTTCTGGGCACGGGATATCAATGGACAGGCCACAATTGCCAGCAAAGGCCATCTCCAATAGGGTGGTAACCAGTCCCCCATCACTGACATCATGGCCAGAGAGAATCTGCCTCTGAGATATTAGCTCTTGTGTTGTTCTAAACGCTGCCTCGAATATCTGAAAGCAAAACGAGAGAAATCATAATTTTATCACTGAAATATACTGCATCCTTGCAAGTTTCCCCAAACTTCTAGGTGAAGCAACACGCGCAGCTGTTCGGCTAAGTGGTCACATAGTCAAACATCAGACGAAAGTGCTTTTCAACTCCTAAATAGTAGTCTAGTAATATCAATTTTAAAGCAAAATACCATAGCCATCTCCTGGGAACCATTGCACCAGATTTATCAGTATATACCTTTTCGTGGTCAGTCTTACCTTAGCATTATCTAAATCAGGTGCCTCGCTTCCTAACTGGTTGTAAACCTGTGCCAATGCGCTTCCTCCCAGTCTGTGTTTAGAAACACCACCAAACCTGACCCACAGTAGATTCCCCTTTCCATCAGGCATCTTCAGGTCAGGGGTGACCGTGGCACAGATGTCAGGGCACCCAGCATACACTGAAATGACAAGTGAGCCAGGAGACTTGACTGTGTCTTCACCAACCCTGGCAGCCATGCTTAGAGAATCTTTTCCACCATCGATAGCAATGCCTAGCGATGCCATCACATCGCACATGGCTGCGCAAGCGTCATACAAAGTCGCTCCTTCTCCTGGCAGTTTAGCAGGCCACATCCAGTTGCCACTGCATTTAACATCCTGGTAAAAAGGTAAAGATTCCATGCAGGTTAGACTTACACGTAAAGCTGAACCTTGTTGTGGATGCCTCCATAATAAGGACACTGCTGTGTTATGGACAGTTCACTCAGCCCCAGAGAAACCAGAATTCACATACCTGTATGATAATACAGACACTCAGCTGTCCCTCTAGTGTCTATATTACAGAGGTTATACCATTCATAATTTGGTAAAGACAATCACTTATTGCATATTGTCACGCTGTACATGTCTTGAATTGGTATCACCAAGTTCTTAGATTTAGAACCAAAATCAAAATAAATTTGTACATTTATTTTGATTCAATCAGGAAGGAAAATAGGAGTTTACATGTAAGACAGAAACTTTAAGTGTGACAATCTTCAAACTAGAACATTTCACATCTTAAACCTTGCTGGTAGGCTGTAGCACATCAAAGCATTTTTCTACATTCTAAACGTGTGATATCAAAATGTTAGTGAGACTATGATCAGAATTTAAGTCCATTTCAGGAAGCCATTCTGAGGAATGTGACTCACAGTTATTCTTGGAAGGATTCAGGTTGAATGGGTCATGAGAACTTTACCATTCAAAGCATCTCACTTCCACTTCACTGATTACTTATAGCCTTACCAGGCTGATGACAGTTTTTATAACATGAAGCAACCAGTACATCTAGTGCTGTTACTCTCGACTCCCAGGATGGGATGCTAGTTCATCAAGGGCTTACCATAAACTCATGTAAGGTTACCTTTAGTTTACGTTAAACAAGAACAAACACTCTTGGATAGACAAGTGGCTTTGGGTGAGTAATGTATCTTGCCTAGGGACAAAACACAATGATTACCCTGGTCACAAAGTTTTTCTTTGTAGTGACGTCAAAAACAGCCATCATTGGAGTCACTTGTGGCTCTGTGACTGATCGTTGGTGCTTCTCAGCTCACTGTAGCTGCCTCACGACTCAAATTTGATTCAAAATGAAACGACAAAACCTATGGGAAGAGCAATCCAGGCAACCCACATGGCGCTTGAATTTGTATATCAAAATCCACAGTCCGATGTTTCCCCCAATAGTCCACTGCCCCTTTTGAGCAGGAGCTTTACATTAAACACAACCATACCATAACTCTCAACCCATATGCCTACTCTTCAATACATAGTAAATGAATGTTAATCCGAGAATGTTCACATTGTCAGAAAGATCACCACGATCCATTTTCTTACCTTAAGATCAGATATTCTTGCAAAAACCAAGTTTGTCAGAGCCTCTCCCACAGCCATGCGGGCCCCACAGGCTGGGTCAACTAACCCTTTGATTGGCTGTTCACCAATGGCAGTTGCGGAGCCCACAGTGTCAAAGTATGTCAGTGCTGTCACTGCCACATCAGCCACTGGAGTATGCAAGGGACCTACACACTGTTGCTGAGCAACCAAACCTGTCACACTTCGATCAACCTTAAATGCAATAAGAGTGATTGGTTTAAATAACACCATCATGTCTAGGCAACTAGCAACCCATTTAAGCAACAGAGCACTTTTTCTGTGTTTACATAGCCTCATAACGTGAACTCTCCCAACCCCCCGAAGAACTCCTACGTGATTTGTGAATTTGCCAAAAAAAAAAAATTGCTAAAAGTAGCTAAAAGTATAATTTATTTGGCACGTGAATTTTGTTAAAATTTGAGCTTGAAAAGGGATGACAACTCCTCTTTGCTACCTTCCTACAGCAATACAATAAAAACAGTTAGCTATGTGTATCAAAGTAAGCAGTATGTAGGTGAGTTAGTAACACAGTCCTTTGGATTAAAACCAAAGCCTGTCGGGAACTCGTCTTGTTTTTCTAGGAAGCATCAAGGTTGAATGATACAGTAATTTCATCACTCAAAACAGCCAGCTTCCAGAAAGCTCAATAAAAATTTCTAGCACCTTGTCAATCTGCACTGAGCTACAGTAAGTGACATGAAAATCTTAACCAAGTTCATTCTTTCCAGGTGACCTGTTAAGTTTTAACACCAGAACCCCAATAGTGATCATGAGCATTGTAGAAAATGGACTGAGTAAAAAAGGAAGAAAATGACCCCCTCTTTAAACTGAAGAATCCAGGCTGGTGATATAAACAGCCATGTCAAAACATTTTTGGTTCATGTGGCAGTCAGGATAACAAACATGGTGGGAAACAAATGCCAGATATGAATTAGTTGTTACTGAGATAAGTGAATTCCACAATGAAGTAGGCAGCAGGCAATTTACAGTAGGCGGCAAAATTACCAGCTGCCAGCACATGTTTGCAAGGCTGTCTAACACGTTGATAACAAACATTTAACATACCTTATTTGTGAGGTATCTCTTGCTTGCAACAGCCGGTAAACGTAAAACTCTTTCCAACATTTCTTTCACTGTAAGGTTGCTTTGTATACATAATGGCTCCAATTTTGACTCTACCCTCTCCAACTTGAAAACCTGTAAAAGAGCAAGGCATTCATTTTGCTTTACTCCTGAAGTAATGATTGTGTAAGCTTCTTGCTGATATACAATAATTTTGACAGGTCATTAAGAATTTTTCAGAGAGAAAACACACCAAATACCTTTCTTGGCATTTTGCCCAACACAACTTCAAGTTCCAAGTCAACAGGATGTGCAGTTGTTCTTTGGCGCTTGCTTGGCACACCATTTTCTTTGGAAGACAGTCCGTTGTTTAAACCCATGTTGTGTTCATCTTCCAGTACAATTTTTCCATCACCTAGAATACAAGGGCACATTACTTTGCTAAGCATCATTTTAACACCAATGCATAATCTTCTTGCAAAAAAAAAAAAATATGAAGGCAAAAAGTCATGTTAAAATTTGTTAAGAATGGTATCTTTGTGATTACTTGTCAAGTAATTTTTCTCCAAAAAGCCATTAATTTGAAATGCTAGAGGGCTCATTAAGATGAAAGCTATTCCAGAGCAGTACTTTCCTGTGATCCTTTTTAAATGTAGTATACTAGGCAATCTGGTTTGGTATTAACCAACTACACAAGAATAAATGTTTACCCTTCTGTTGCTTACATTTTTTAACAGTTTCTAGTACCCACTAGGCTGTAGCATCACCATATATAACCGTTTGGCATTGCAATGGTCAGGCAACAAAACGTGTATTTAGATGGTTGTTGTTGTTGTTGTTGTGAATTTGTTTGTTTGTTTTTGTGTTGTGTCTTACCTGTGATTGCTCCTACAAAGGACACCGGCACCTTCTCTCTGTCACAGATTCCTTGAAGCAGATCCCTATTTTCAGCGTGCACTAACAGGGCATTACTTTCTTGGTACTCTGCACCCCACAGTTCCAAAACAGAAATGGTTGGGTCACCAAGAATGAAGTCTTTCACTCTAATGACAGCCCCAGCAGGTTCACATATCTCTTTAAGCACATTTCCTGAGTTGTAAGAAATCAATAAATCTGTAGGTGTAATCATTGTTCCTTAGAGATAATCACTACTTAGAAAATAAAATGTGGTAGACGTATTTTCAATCAGTTCTAGTATCATTCCGGTCTTGTTTCAGAGGAGAGAGTCATGGAGGTTTTATAACAAAGCTGGAAGAACTTGCAGATTCCCACTTGTTTTTGTTGTAGGTTTAAAAATGTTTCACTAATTCTTGAAAAATAGGCCTTCATCAGATTTAAGATACTTGATTGCTGTTATTGATCTGTGTGATTTCAAAATGTAACTCAAGGTTTATGAGGGCAACCAAAAAGAATTTTGTTTATGTGATTTGAAAAATGTACATAATGTAGTGCAAGAACAGTAAACCTTTGCTACATGTAGTCAACTTCAGATCTTTTACCCACACCCAAGCTAGCTTGAAGTCCAGCTATCAAACCTCATAACTCACTACATACTTTCATGATAAGAAATCTCACCATTTCCTCCAGCTCCTTGGTCATGAATACTGCAGATTGGGTTACTAGATCCCATCTCAATACATGCCCTTATAGCTCTGTTCAGTTTCTGTTCCATTTCAGCATCGCCGCGTTGGACAGCACCAAAGTCCAGCTCTGATTCATTGTCTCCCTGAACCTGAATTGATGAGGCAGCACCACCACCAACACCTATACGATACACTGGTCCGCCAACTTTGACAACTTCCATACCTTATTCCAAAAGAAGTTGATAAATTGCTCTTAAGGCAGACCTCTGGGGCTGATAAACAGAGGCTACTGGAGTAAGAGGTTTACATTGAAACTAGAGAAAAATCTATCCTGCACATGCAAATTAAAAATTTCAGAAAATTCAGATTAAATCTACCTTGCAAGACTGGAGAGAAAATATTTCTGTAAATTTTTATAGACACACAAGATATATCTAAGAAGCTTAAAGATACAGAATATTCAAAACTGTAGTGAAAAATACTCCAAAATGCTTCCATTAGGACCAATTAAGCCAGTGCAAAAATGGCACATGTGAAAAGCTTAGCGACACCAATGATGGGTGAAAGAATTAAGAGACAAATAATTTACGCATTAATCTGTGTCATACTTATCATATGCAGCAAAGTTGTACCTTCTAAATCAGCCCTTAGACTATTTTGGGTTGGTGAAGCAAAACGTATGCCAAGAATTGGGTTGAATTTAACTGATGTTTTGAACAGAATATTATTGCTGAAAAATTTAGAAAGAACTCACCTTTTTCAGGTTCTAGTTTAGACACACCCTCTCCATCAATCATACCAATACCACCACTGAACATGATTGGCTTAACCCACTCACGTCGCTCTCCATTTGGCAGCATCATACCAAATGATCTAGCAAATCCAGCAAGCACTGGTTCACCAAACTTATTACCATAGTCGGAGGCACCATTGCTGGCCTCTACAGCAATCTCGACAGGAGGAGCCATGTTATTTGGATAAACAAATTTTTCATCTTCCCAAGGAAGTTCATAACCTGACAAAACAAACTGCTTGGTCAAGGTAAAAACATTTGTAGAAACTGATCTCTATGAACTGATGGTAAGCTATAAATTTCATAATGTGCAGTTCCAGAAAATATCCCTATTCCCCCTTCAGAAGGGATTGGAATTTCCTCAGGGGTGGGGGGTTCCCTAAGGCCAAAATGTTTAAACAAATGTATCAAGCTTAATTGGAATTTCGAGAGGGTTGAGGGGGGGGGTCTTGGAAAAAAAATCCCTTCCATGGGCAAGGAATGGATATTTTCTGGAACTACGCAATGGGTATTGCAGAGACCTAAAAGTTAACCAATCAACAAGGCTTGGGTCTGTGCATTGTTATAAAATGCTGGGGGGGGGGGTAGCCTGTTACAGACTACTGCTTCTACCAGTGGGGAGTAGCAATAATCATAGTTGCTTAGAGTTTGCTACCAAAACCAGGCTTAGTACACAAGGTGGAAAGAAAACAAATTTTTGAGCTTTTTGAGCAAGCTGGAATTGTGATGCACTAGCCCCTAAAATGCCTTACTATTTATGATTGACTAATTTAAAATTGTAATCATTGATAAGAAAATTTAATCTTTCACAGTGCTTCTCTAACTTAAATTACATCAAAAATTCCTCCAATCAGGCAAGTGAAGGACAGAATACTCAAACTGGGCTACAAAATCCACTAGCCCTACGCTACCAAACACAACTTTCTTTTCACGCTATAACACTCTGTTGGCTCACTAAAATATCTTTTCATTTTACATTACAAAAGCTACAGGTACATTGTACCAAGTAAAATGGAAAAGGAACATTCAGAGAGAAGCAGTTTTTGTAAGGGTTGAAAGATTTCTCAACCAATGGGGCACTAGTCTTTCACTAGTCCTCACCTGGGATATGGAGATTGCCAAAGCAATATCCTGCAGTACCAGCGACAACATGAGCACCTCGCCCCGCAGCCTGGACGTCTCGTATCCGCCCTCCTGTACCAGTTGTTGCTCCAGAGAATGGCGCTACACCTAACAACAAAAAATATGTCAAAGTCACCCAATTTTTTTTAACAAGACCTGCTGGTAAACTTAGGTACAGAATCTTAGATAGTGTTTCCTGTCAATCTTCCAACATATACCGTGCTAAGAAAAAACTGACATTCTAAAAGCCAGCTTCTTTCCTTTAGCTCTTAAAGTTTTGGTTATAACTAAAATACAATCATTTACACGTGTGCATATCAAGATAACTTTACATATATTAAGTTGATGACCTCTTTTCTTATTACGAATATAAGTCCACTCTTACCTGTTGGGAAGTTGTGCGTTTCTGCAGTGAAGATAATGTGCCTGGTACAGTCCTGTTTTAATTGAAACTTGGCAGCTTGAGTGCAGTTTTGGGGCAACAGTACAGGGACTTGGTAACCAGTGATGGCACTGTACAAAAAACACGTCATGTACCTGCATTTATTTTTTGACACCATCCCAAAATATCCTAAGCATTCTAGTAATTTTTGGAACAATAATGTGCAATAATCCCAGCAAAATTCAGAGGGTCTGGTCAGAGTTTAACTGATGCATTTCAAACCTCCTGACCCCTCCTCCCCCCTCCCACCTCCAGCCTCCTTGCCTTGTCCCCTGTTGTAGTGACACTCCAAGAGGTAAAAAATAGTGTAAATGCATGGGTGCTTTCCATTCAACCAGAAATGATGAAAAGTTTCAAAATGGGGACAAATGATATTGAAATTTCCTGGGAACATCTCCAGGAAATCCTGAACTTGTTGCATTTCTGAAAAGTGAACCCTTCAACCAAAAAATTCTGGAAATTCCATAAGGAAAATCAAATGGACCAAAAATTTCAACCCCCTCTGCTCAGCAACCAGTTTTCCAAAATACCAAAAGCTTTTAAGTCAAATCACTATATTTCAAACCTCTTGTAAGCGACCACCTCTCATTAGCGGCTGCAACCACTTTTACAACTGAAAGTTTGAAATTTTCTTCAGTTTTTAACCTCTTGCAAGCGACCACTTGACAGATAATAGAGCGGAAATTTGATTAAACTGAGGTGTTGTGACATTTAAAATTTAATTTGTAACTATCATGAGACTTGTTCTGTTTGCCTTATTAGGTAGTTTATCAAAAAAGAACCATGAGAAGGGCATTTGTGCATGGGTTAAGTCTTTGCAGTTACCATACGCTAATGAAGCAAAATTTTGACCCAATATGGTCTTAGATCTCGTAAGCAAACACCTCCCATAAGCGACCACCTTGGCTTGACATTTTGGGTGGTCGCGTACAGGAGGTTCAACTGTACCTTGCTAGGTTGTCCTCTGTTCCAGAAATTATGGAAAATGCTGTTCAATTTGTGAATAGGAATATTAGGAAATTCAAACAAGAAATTTTCATCAAATAGAAAACCACCCCTTGTTTACTGAATATAGCTTTGGCATACCTGCTGTTATCACTAAACTTTATAACACTGTTGTTGTTACTAGTTGCTTGTGTTTTCATCACCATTTTCATCAGCGAATCTTCCACCTCCTGTCCATCAACTGTCAATCTTCCTTTAAAGAACCAATGGCGTGAATGCTCGCTGTTTGATTGAGCCAAATCAAAACATTCAACACTAGTTGGGTTTCTTTTAACCTGTTCTTGGAATAATTTAGTGTAATAATCGAGATCCCAATCGTCGAAAGCCAGTCCTAAATCTCGGTTGACTTTCTCTAGCGCAGCGCGACTTTCAGCCATAACATTGACTTCGTAACAGCTCTCTGCACGAACATCTATCTTGAAACTCGTCAACGGCTTTTCATAACGACATTCAGTCATTCTGTCATGAAGTTTAGCGGCCAATGCTTTTTCTTCGTCTTTCGTGATACGCCTCGAATCATTCTTGTCTTTTGGCGCGAGTTGAATCAAGTACCGGCATGATTTTTCGATGCGATCAATCTTTTCCAAACCTATTGATCTGCAAATGGATACAGCATTCGTTGACCAAGCCGTAGAAAAGTTTAGCCTTGGCCCAATTTCGATCAGCACTCCGCTACAACCTTCTGCGGGTTTTGATTCCTCTAGGAACGAAGTGTCTCGAACGTTTTCTTCCCCGAAAGAATTCGTTAACAGCCATAATAAATTCTTCAGTTCAACATCGTCTAACCCATCATTTCCTTGCACACTGACATTAAAGCATATTTCAGTCGATAGATCAGTGATTTCTAGTCTAGATGACGCTGATTTCAACTTAGAAAGTGTTACAGCGTGTCTTCCAGACGATAGAGCCGGAAAACTATAAAATCGCAGAATTTTTTCCGCCATTTTGTTTCCATGTGCCATGTGGTACTACTGGACCACGTGACTTGTTTGAAGCTTCACTGATCTCGCGCGCCAATTTTCCCCGTACCAGTCTTTCCACAAACTTCTCGTATTTCGAGCAACTTTTTGCATTCTGAGCAATTTCTAGTTTTCTACCAATTCTGAGAAATCACAGCAGCTTTCAGTGCTTTCAAAACTGGCCTTGCTTCCATATTTCGCAGTTTTAGTAGACAAAAGACCAATTTTGATATATTCAAATTTAGCTTAAAACAATAGACCTCAGTATGAGGCTAGCTTCTGGGAAATAAACCCCACCAACTCTGTAGTTATTCCCCAGAGCCTCGTACTGAGGTGTATTGTTTTAGGCTGAATTTTATCGAAATTGGTCTATTTATAAATTTCCTGTTAAAAAGCAACCAACTCCCTTCCCCCTGGGGATGCAGCCGGGCTGCTAGGCGGACGAAGAGTCACACTCGACTGACTCGAGTGTCTCATGCCCAGGTGAAGAATTTTTACAAGATTAATTAAATATTAATATTGATGCATAGTCTTTACTCAGACAATTTTTGGTTTTAATTGAGGAGAAAGTTATTTATCAACGATGCTTACGCCGCAAAATTGCACAAAAGTACTTAGAAATGATCAAATCTTACTTTTGTTGTGCAATTTGCATATCTAATCTCAGGCCAAATAAAGGAAGATAGCAACAATTTTTTTTTGAGCAACTTTTGTTACAGAAAGCAACTTTTGACGCTTTTTTTTAGCAACTTTTGAACAACTTTTTGAGAAATTGCGGGCAACTTTCTAAAGTAGATTCGTGCTTCAATAGCGTAACGTTTTTTGTGTCCTCGTCAGGCTTACAAGGTTTTACCAGCGAAGTGGGCTCAAGTTCCATTCATGTTTATGTCAGAAAACCATTATTTAATAATAGCTAAATCAAACATCTTTGTTATTGGGATAAACTGGGTGATTTCAGCTGTTCGAGTCACCCAAAACAAGCGATTTCATACCTTGGTTTGTTTACTTGTGCAATATTTCCTATTTCAAGAGATTTCTATGCAAAGAGAATGCTTGGAAAAGAAAGAAAACGAACAAACGGCTGGCTGTGATTGTGGTAAAGGTTTTCCGGATCAAAAGTTAGTCAAGTTTTAGGTTAAACTGAAAGCATCGAAATTTAAGCTTTAAACTCATGGATTGAGGACAAAGGACCTCAGAGGTATTTTAATAGAAATGTAGAGGTCGGAAAATTTTTGATAAGGTTTAGAAAGTTCACCATTAATGTGCGAACACGATACAATCTAGTACCAACCTAAATTTAAATTTTAGGGATATTGTTTCTCAGGAGGCCCATCACTGCCATCAGCTGAAATGACGTATGCAGTGCGTAAAACAGATTTTAAAAACGAGATCTTTGGAATTTGGTTGTTTGACCCGATTCACAGGTGAAGGTAAACCTAATTGAAACAGTAAACATATGTGTTTGCAGAATGATATGTTCAGCTGAATCAACTTCGTCGTCCACGTTCCGTAGACGACGCAGAACTTGGTCATTTCACGTTGTTGTTTTGCAGAGGACGGCAAAGAAATGTACAGATATTTACAACGCACGTGCACAGCTATTTGTTTTGCTTATCAAATCCTTTGTTTGGTGACGTTCTCCTTGTCGTCGGCGTCGTGGTTTGCTTAAGTTCCCTAACACCAACACTAAACTTAACTGAAGATTATCAACAAATTCCAGAACACTAAGGCCCAGGTCAAACGTCGAACTTCACATACAACGAACTGAACTGAGCGAATTAAGTTCATGATAAGTTCGACGTTTGACTCGACTGAGTTCGTTCAACTGAGTTCGTCTGCTTTTAATTTTGTTTAATTAATCTTGTAGTGATGTCGGACTGAGCGATTTTGCAAGAATCCAGTTTAAATGTAAATGTTCAATCAAATATCCGGTTTGGTACAAGTCTCGCAACTTTAGGATTACACTGTATACTTAAATCGCTTGATGTTTTATACGGAATCATGCCACTTGCTGGGTGGGGAGGCTCGGGACTTTACTTCACAACTCATCAGCTTTTAAAAAATACGTCTTCAATGCGTACTTGTGGGCTTTTGCTTAGTTTGATTCCATTCTATTGGATTGTTGTTTTTAACTGTCAGTTTCTGGGAGTTGAATTGCTACAAGTGAGAAGGCAATCACTGGAAAGATTAAGTTGTGATTAAGGTGTGAAATAAGTGAATTAGGTACTGTACCATAGATTTTTCTTATTTCTGGTATCAACATAGACAAGTCGGTACAAATTTTAAGTGAGAAATTTGTTGCAGAAAATTATACTGTTTACTTTCGTACTTTATCCTCTAACAATAATTCTTTGTTAAGCTCTTAGTCCCCATTAGTCCTCTTAGTCCCCATTTAGCCCTAGTTTATGCAGCATATTGTGCCTTGTCCCCTGTGAGTTTTAAATCGCTGAGCTCGACACTGTTTACACATGTCAAGTGAACTTGGACATGTAGTGCCGTGTCAAGATGGTTTTACTGCTACAGTAATGACTAACACCAGTTACATAACAGCGTCAACAACTGAGTCCAACATGCGCCTTGTTAATGGTGTTGAAGTGTATTGAAGTTCTATGAAAATGTCCGTGATGAGACCTAGCTGGCTACTTAACAAACATGTCAACGGTCTTTCAACTTACCCACCGTATGTATGACACTGTATTTCACAATGGCTACTCAAAACACTTGCGTGTGAAATATTTTGAATTTTCCTCTGTACCTGAAGAAGGCCTGTAGTTGGCAGCCAAACTATAATGTATTAAGTCAAGTTAACTTCTGTTTGGTGTCGGCTTTGCTTAAGTTTCTCATAAGCTCAAGTATTCCAAAATACCATTTACAGGTGAACGAAAACACAAGTAATGAAATATGGTGTGGTGTGCTCTGCCTTCTCGGCGGGACAAAGTTATCACACAGACCCACAAAGATAGTTTTTTGCTCTTTGATCGGCTGCTAAGTTTGGAAAATCAGCAGAAAGATGCAAAAAATTAACCAAAGCTTTCAAATATTGATCTGCCACCACACACTTATGTAAGAAAACCAATAAATTACGTAGGTACTCAACTAGCGGTATTGATAAATCAGTACATATATGCCG